CGTCCTTACCGGGACAGAGGCCATAGGGGAAGCGGTGGGCCACCGGTTCCTGCCGGTGGGGGGAACCGGGGAGAAGAAGGGGCGGGATGGGATGGGGGACCGTGCGGCGCCCGGAACCGTCTGCCGGGAGCGCTGGCGCCTCCCGGTCACTACAACAACGGCGGCCCAATCACGCCCCGCGCTCCAGGCCTGGCTAGCCGAGCGCCGAGGCTCAGCCGAGCGCCGAGGCTCCGCGGCGCGGGGACAGCCCTGCGACCTCAAGCTGGCAGGCGAGACGCCCTACGGTCAGGTGCGAACACGCACCAAAACCAAAGTTTATTAACACTCGTTTTCCACCCGGCTTGACACCCAGAAGGAGAGGAGTCACCGGGACAGAAATGAGACTGATGGGAGCTAGAGGGTAAAGACTGTGGTCGATGCGATCGGAGCTCTATTACTCGTTAAAGAGACAGCGCGTGCGAATTCAGGAGGTCCCGTAGCCTGTGCGGACGGCCGACGGAGATTCGATCTGACGCGGGAAGCTTGTGAGTTACTAACGTACGCAAAGGAACTAAACCTTTGGAGAACAGATTTGAGTTTATTTAATTACCATGTTTCACACAATGCCCTGCGTGATGTAAATATAGATTCTGGATAAATGGAATGAATGAATGAATGAATGAATGTTGTGCATCCGCTTAATGTTTTCCTATGTTTCTATTCCAGTCTGCTCTTTTGTGTGTTTTAGAGCAGCCAGTTTATACAGCAGCATATGTAAAGTCTTTAGGAAGACTTAGAAACGAGCTTTTGTTTGTTTGAATGATTAGGCCACATAGTAACTACAGCCATTTCCACACCAGGCTTCCTTACGCATAATACCGCTTGAGTTTCAGCAACACTGCGGAGGTGACAGTGTTACGAAATGTTACCAACGTTTACAAATTATAAACTTCATTCTTACATATTTTATATAGACTTGTCAAAGACCGCACAGAGACAGCTCTTCCAATTCCCAGTCCCTATTTTTTTGCACCTTGCCTCAAAGCATGGAGGGTTCAACTGAAAATTACACACAGAATTCTTGGCAGCATAAGATGGCATAATAGACCACAGCTGGAAAAATACACGTTCTATGCGAATGAAAGGTATTCTGCACACCTTAATTACAGTTTCTCTAACTGCTGTCTGGTGATAAAATTCAGTTTTAATGAATACTGCACTTAGCAGGCAGATAGGAATAACTTTAGATTGCAGTATTTAATCTGAGTATATGTTTGCTGAATGTCCGCTCTGTGGCTCTGAGGGACACAAAGGTGACTGAGATAGCTTCCCTGCCCTCCAGAACTCAACAATCTAGGTTTCTGAGCCTCATATTTTAGCACACATAATGATGATTCAGCAGACTCCATTCCCAGAGATGCTGATTCAGCGTATGTGGGATGGGACCCAGGGCCCTACACATGGAACAAGCCCCTTCAGGGGTTGCTATGGGAGCCTCAGCTGTGTACAGTGAAAAGCGTTGCTGTAGACCAGGAGGTGATGCATGAAGGGTGCTGATACCGGCAACTTGTCAGCAAAGTGCCAGGACTCTAAGCCTTGCTATTTATTCCCAGTCTAGGTATGACTTTTTTTTTAAGCCTTACATACTTAAAAATAATGCTGAATCCTGGTGGGAATAGAATGGCACAGCACTGTGGAAAGCAGTTTGGCGGTTCCTTAAAAAGTTAACTCCTAGGTATGTACCCGAAAGTACTGAAAGCAGGGACTTGGAACAGATGCCTGTACACAGTGTTTATAGCAGCATTATTCACAATAGCCAAAAAGTGGAGACAACTCACATGCTTAACAGAAAAATTGATAAATAAATGTCATGCATACTTATTATGGACTGCTATTCAGTCATAAAAAGGAATGAAGCTCTGACACATGTTACAACATAGGCGAACCTTTAAAACATCATGCCAAGTGAACAAGCCAGACACAAGGGAACATGCATTGTGTGATTCTACTTACATGAGGTGCCTGGAATAGGTGGATTCACACAGACGAAACGTGCAGTGGGAGTTACCAGGGACTGGGGATAGCGAGAATGGGGAGTTGTTGTTTAATGGGTGCAGAGTTTCTATTTGAGGTGATGAAGTTCTGGAAATAGACAACGGAGATGATTGCAAAACACTGTGAATGTATTTAATGCCAATGAACTGTACACTTAAATGTAGTCAGCATGGTAAAATTTATGTTATGTATATTTGACTACAATAAAACAATAATTCTGGAAACTCTGAGAAATAACCCAAACCTCAGGATTTCTCACACCCAAGAAGACATCTAATATTGGATACAGTAGAGCAAGGGAAAAAGAAACAGCTGGAGATGTAGAAACTAGCTCAAAAGAAAACAAAATTTTAAGCACAGATTTTTCTCTAAGTCTTAGTAAAAAAATTGTTAACTTTTTTCCCAATTATCAAAAAGTACATGTTTTTAATTGAATAAAAAAAAAAAATCACCTGCTGCCCCATCACCTAAAAGGTGACTTTTTAAAAATGTATCATCTGTCCATTGTATGCTCACTATGTGCCAGGTACTCTTCTAAGTACCTTACACATTCTGACATTTCATTCTTATAAGAGTCTTTTTAGAGGGGTGATGTTATAGCCATTTCCATTTTACAGAAGAGGAAATTGATGTGCAGAGACATTAGGTTACTTGCCCCATACACAGCGGGGAAGTGGCAGAGCTTTAGACTTTAGCGGGTGCCTCCAGACTCCACTCTCTTAATCACCAAGTCATCATGCCTTTGCACGATTGCAAGCATATTGTAAATGTGTAAAATTCTGTATCCTAGCCTAACCGTAAGTTTTACAAAAGAAAAAAATGTAACATCTGCCTTGTTTCCATTCCACTGCCCCCACCTATTACTCCAAACCGCCCTGCCTAAGCTTCTTTTCCATGTTTAATTTTATTCCTTTTTGCTTTTCCTCACCTTTGCAAACAGTAAAAAGTCAGATGGACATTTGGAAATACGGCCAAGTTGGGGATAGTTTTTCTAACCTGAAGCATGCTTGAGTTCATGTAATTCTCTTTGCTGCAGT